GGCTTAGCAACAGACTGTGAAGGCTTCAAAGTTTACTTTACTATGACCATGTGCTAACATATAATTTATAGGAACATCTAGCTTTATAAATGACCTGTTACTATAAATGGGCACTAGAAGTCCTCTGCCCTGCTGCTAAGGATGTTATACTTTTGGGGATCTACACAAGTTTTACTCTTGAATGAATTTTCCTATAGAAATAATGCTATACACACTAGTGCTACCAGTATATTTCATAGGTACGTCATTATGTTAGTGTGTTACTTTTTGGTAGGTATACAATGGGCTAGAAAGGCTCTTATGAGGAGTTGACTTAAAAATCTAACCACCAATTAAAACATTGCTTTTATGAATGCATTGATATCAATTATATTTTTAATTTTTATCATTATCAAAATAATACACATACATAATTTTAAGTCAAACACTATACAGTTTACAAAAACAGAACTCTTCTCTAGCCATTACATTCATAATTATTGTTCCTCCAAAACAATCTTAATTCTATCCATAACAGTTGTTTCTGCTCTCCATTTATTTCTCATCCAACTTTTCTTCTGACATTTAAATCTCTTTTACTATATAGCATGCATACACTTCTTCTTGATTTTTAAAATCTATTGAGGATTTAGTTCTCTGACAATATACACACTCTCACAAACACACATCCTTCTAGTACAATACAATTTCACATTCAGTGCTTATAATTTAATTAAGTATTATGATCTGCAGAACCATATGGTATACTATGATTATATTTCCTTTTTTTATACAATATTTTGTTTTCCCAGGAATTAAGAACTGCTTCATTTTGTTACTGTTCCTCCCACCCCCTCAGTTTTCAATGTTCCTCTATCATCAAACTTTCTTTAAAAGGAACTGTAAATGTTTCAATAGATTCATACTATCAGTTATAAATTTTTCCTTGGACACCCATCCTGAAGCCGCCTATCCTTTTACTTTTAGGCTGAATGATCTTTACTTTAATCGCATAGGAGTCATTATGGGATTCCTCTTTATCATAGTTCTCAGAATTCCTTTACCTCCATTCTGTGTTTGGATCCCTTTTTCCTTCGATGGCTTGTGCATCAGTCACAGTAGCCCAAGTTATACTGCAATAACAAACAACCCCACAATCTCAATGGCTTACAATGACAAAGGTTTATTTCTCATACATATTACATGTTGATCATGGATTGCTTTTACCTCTGTACCATGCTATTTTCTTTCCAGGCTGACAGAGCAGCCTCTGCCTAGAATATTGTTAGTCATCATAGCAGAAAGAAAAGAGACATGATGAATCATGAGCTAGTTCTTAACGTATGTGCTCATAAGTGACATATATCACTCTTACCCACATTTCATTGGTCAAAGCAATTTATTCATATTTGAGTTCAACAGGTGACCACATAATATCCTTCTGGAGGGGTCAGTGTGGGTGGAGGAGTTGAGGGGGAACGAAAGCATATAATCAAATCTGACATCAACAGAACAGAGATATGATCTTCTGCAAGGAGACAAGTTAATAATTATGAACAATAAAGCTATCATAGCATGTCTTCTTCTCTCTTGTTTACTCAATCTTTTTCATGAAATTCATCCAACACCCTTGTGGGTTTATATCTTTTTTCCCATTTACTGTCATTTCTATAGTTTCAGGAATGTGTTCAATCTGCTGTCTATAACTAAAATACCACCAATCACTTTAAAAGGGAACTTCTAGGCCATGGCTTATTTGAAAGATAAGAACTGTTAGTAACTCTCACTTTCATTCAGTGTACCATTTCCCATTATTTAGCAACTTTCCCCAGATCCTACAAATATCAACAAAGAATTTAAATTGTATTTCTTTTTTAAAAACTACCCAAATAAATTCACTTTAAAACTGAGGAATTTTCTAAAACAGCTTTGATCCTAAATATCTTGAGTTTTGCCTTTTATAATTTGCTCTAAGCTCCAGGCTTATGTCTTCAATTAAATCAAGCAGTTCAAAAGAACTTCTTAGTATAGACAATGATATATTCAAGCTGTTGGCCTAGCTCTGAAATCTACCTGTCATTGCTGTCTGTAACTTATCTTAAATATTATTATACTAGAGGCCTGGTGCATGAAATTCATGCACTGGGGGGTGGGGGAAAAGGGTGTCCCTCAGCCCAGCCTGTGCCCTCTTGCAGTCCGGGAACCCTCGAGAGATGTCCGACAGCTGCGGAGGCAGGAGAAGCTCCCACCACCACCGCTGCACTCCAGCCGTGAGCCCAGCTTCTGGCTGAGCAGCTCACAGTATTGAGCACCTGCCCCCTGGTGGTCAGTGTGCATCATAGTGACCGGTCATTCCGCTGTTCGGTTGATTTGCATATTAGCCTTTTATTATATAGGATATTTGGGAAAATACATTTCTAAAATATATTTCCATATACCAAAATCTTACTTAGATATGAAATGGAAAACATAGTAAAAGGTTACTAAAGGGAATAATATGAAAGAAATGGTCAAGTTCAGCTTTTTGTTATATTTGTTTTTATTTGACAGTCTCCTCTCTAATAACCGGGATAAAATAGATACTCAACTTTTTATAAAAGAAACTTGCTTTTTAAACATTGGAGTGGATAATAAAAAGATTAAGTATTCTGTGAGAAGTAAACCTTGCTCAAATACATCATTCACGTGTTAGTACTTTTTCACTGCTTGGGCCTGGGCTTTGTTTGTTTGTTTGTTTGTTTTATTGGTTTTTAGAGAAAGAGGAAGGGAGACGGAGAAGGGAGAGATATAGAAACATCAATGAAAGAGAAACATTGATTGGCTGCTCCATACACCCCCTACTAAGGATCAACGCCCCAGTCCAGGCATGTGCCCTGACGGAATAAAACCAGCAACCTCCTGGTACATGGGCCAATACTCCAGCACTGAGCCACACTGGCTGGGTGGGCCTGGGCTTTTGAAGTTAGGCTTTCTCAGTTCAATGCTGTTTCCATCTCCAAACAGTCATGGGCCATGATAAATTACTTAATTTCTTTAACCTCAGTTTCTCATTTTTATAAAACAAAAATATTAGCATTTCTAAGAAAAAGTTATGAGAAATTAGAATCTGTGAATATCTGTCAGGCCTGTCACTTCACTGACCCTCAGTTTGCTCATCTGCAAAATGCCAGTGAAAATGTCTACCCTGTAAAGTTATGATTGTAAAATATAGTAAAAGAAATAAAAAAATAATTAGGACATTGCCATTCCATAGAAATGTAAGGTGAACCACACATGGGAACCACATATGTAATTTTAAATAAAAAAAAAAAGCAGGTGAAATTAATTTCAATAACATTTTATTTACCTCAACATATTTAAAGTATTATCATTTCAACAGTTAAATCAGTATAAAATTGAGATTTTTTTTTACATTTTTTTGTATTGTCTTTGAAAATCAATGTGTATTTTACACTCATAGCACCGCTCTATTCAGACTAAGCCACATTTCAAGTATTCAACAGACACATGCAGTTAGACTACCATATTAGCATTGGCCTGGAACAAGGTGAGGCTTAATATATGTTTATTAGATTCAAATAGTATTACCTATCAGATAAATCCTCTGGGACTTAGGAAAGTCAATTTTAAAATCAACCACATTAAAGAGTGGTTGATTCTTATATTTTTGTACCTAATATGTGATACGTAATATTATAAGAACTTAAAATAGTATCTGTATTTACTAGACTAAGTATTTATACAAAGTAAGAGCTACCAAAATGATTACTATAAGTCATTAATATTCATTTATTTTATATTTATTTATATGGCTATTTTATTAGGATTTTAATTATATATTATTTGACATAAAATCTAATAATCTCAAAAAGGAAAATAAAACCTGATGTTACTACACAAACAACTCAAACTACAAGCTAACAAATGATGGAATTACACCTTCCAGCAAAGAAATAGAAATAGGAAATAAAATATTTATCTATTTTACTAAATTTTTCACTCACAGGACCTATCATTAGTAAATCATTAATAGCTTTCATTTTTTTCTCATGAAAATTTACTCATATTCTCTAAATAATAGGACGACCACCTATCATAATAACTTAATTATACATATATAATTACAAGTAAATATAGCAGTAAAAGGATGTTATATTTATTTCAAAACAATTCATTGGAGTTATAACATCAAATATCACTTGTATTACATTCCTTATTAAGATTACACTGAATAGTATATAGTAGGCCAATTCTTATATATTGAGCTCAAAAAGCACGGTGGAAAATGAATGAAAAATATTTAACTGCAAGGTCTTTCTGAAAGTTACCCACAAGCACAGAGCATGTGCATGCACAAACACACATAGATGCTCTTGCAGTTTATATATTTTCCATCAGTATTTCTCTGGGCTGTCCAATAGTCCAACACACGTGGTCAGATAAGACACATGAGTAAAACAAGCAGACTATTGGGTAGGCAATTTCTACCTCATTTCAAATCTGACCAAGACCACATAGTTACCTAAGACTTCAACATTACAAAGTCTTATGAAATTCTTAATGACTAAAATTCTTTGGACTTTGTTATATATTCAAAAGATAGCAATTCTAGACTATTCGTCCTCTCCCCAAAACATAATATCAGAAGGCTCACACACAAAAAAGTTCCACCAGCTGAATCATTCATTCTATGTCCTACAGCACCACCTATGTGCCTCTCTGTAGTCTCCTGACCAATATCTCCTCACCCACCACTGATCAAGCTTAGAATCTCCAATGGGTTCACACTGCAAAGTAGTCTCATTGCAGAAGACAGGGTTTGAATACTTACATCATATAGTCATATTGTTTTCATGTAAACTTTCCCAAGGAAGAAAGTGGGCATGCATTTCCCAAGCTAACCAATCCTGACCCCTAGAATCACTGACACTAAACACAAGCCCAATGACATACACTGTATAATTTTAAATACCTGGTAAAACTGCCAAAATAAAACTACCCATTCATTAAGAAAAACTCACATCTGGCATTTCTGTAGAGTAGGAAAGGGTCCTGGAGCTGGAAATCCAGGTCTTTAGTAATGGGTTCTGTCCTATTTTCCATGCTCAGCCTATTCATAATGGTGAACCCATACTTTGGAGAAGCAGACCTAAGAATCACAAGGGGTGGGGAGGACATCAAAAGACACGTTGTTCAGTATAGTATATTTTTAGTATAACTACATTCCGAATGTGCCTTTGACCTTTTTGTAAGCCTATACAGCTTTGTGCAAGCAGACTGTACACATGTTAAGCAATGATTCTTTACTAGTAGCTAATAGCACTAATATATTAATTTATGTAACACATGCAGCATGACTCTCATTACAAATCCTTTGGTAAAATCAAATTTTACTTATTTAACTATATATATCTTGTTTCCCTATCTAGATTATAAATTCCTTTAAGGAGGAGATGGTAATTACATGATAGTTAATATAGAGTGTATGTCACAATACATGAAGAAAATTTTCACAGAAAATCTTAGTGTTGGTCTGAAATTAAAAGCTGTGAAACTTTTTAAAGAAATGATGCAACTCTGGTCAATAAACTGGTGAGGAAATACAGTATAATTAAAAGTTTATATAATTTAATGTACAAAGCGATCTTTTCTTTAAAGCAAATAGCTTTATAGATAAACTATTATAAAGTTTTTCTCCATAAAAATGTAGCTGTTAGTGACTTTTTATTTTTATTTAATAAACCTTTAGTGCCTACTCTCTGTCAGGCAGAAAAAACCCAAATTATACAGAGTATAAAATCTAATAACTACATTTGCATTTATCTACCCTTGGGTGACAGCTATATAGCAATTCAACTACGCAGCTTCTGTGACAAATGAAACCCCACATGCTTACAAACTGAAAGTGAAAGCAGAATTTATTTATTTACTTTAAACTAGGGCACCAGAGTAACAAACCCACAGAAGTGTTATGAGCAACAAGGTATTTATATTTTAGTTTGATATAAACTTGATATCTGATTTAATACTGATAAAGGCCCTAACTGGCTTGGCTCAGTGGATAGAGCATCGGCCTGCGGACTGAAGAGTCCCAGGTTCGATTCCGGTCAAGGGCATGTACCTTGGTTGCAAGCACATCCCCAGTAGGGGGTGTACAGGAGGCAACTGATCGATGTTTCTCTCTCATTGATGTTTCTAACTCTCTATCCCTCTCCCTTCCTCTCTGTAAAAAATTAATAAAATATATTTAAAAAAAAATACTGGTAAAGAAGTAAAATACAGCTACATTACCACTTACAGCATTTCCTTTTGAGCCCTCCAATTTAAAATTGATGGAAGCCAATCCGTGTCTAATTCACTTTACAGAGAGGTAAAGTGGTATTAGGCATATAATCAAAACCAGACATAATCATGATAATCATTTCAACTTAAATTCTGAGGGAGAATGAAAATTGACTTCCAAAGATCTCTGACAGAGTCTTTTAGAAGTGTTAAGTTCAGAAATCACCAGTGGTTCTCTATGAACTCTATTAAAAAAAGAAAACATGAGAGAAAAAGAAGACAAAAAAAAATTTCAAATAGGATTAGGTATTTTTACACATAAACAGATTTGACTCTTCAAGGATTTCATTAACCTCTCAGTATGGATACAGAGCTAAAGATATCACTGGCAGCTCCATCACCTGTACCCAAAACTCCCTTTTGATCTTTACAAGCTTCCTGTCATCCTCTGCAGAGGAAAGGCCTCAGCATCCCAGAATCTGGCATTGGGGGCTGGGGGGATCTTGGGGAAGACGGCAGGGAAAAGGGACTCCTGTTAATGAGGAGTTATATTTGAGGAAGAGATTAAGATATAAAGATATAAGGAAGGATTTGTTTCTCAATTTAATATTTTCTTTAACTGACAGATCCACTAAGAACTCAAAGTAAATTAAGAAGTGCTTATAATAACAACCCTACATTTGGTTTGGGTACACTAAAAAAAATAACCCTACTAAAAATTCCCAAAATAAAACCATTAATGCATATTAATATATTTTCTTTTACTTCTTTTCAGAAGTAAAATATTTTCAGAAATAAATGAGAATGCATATTGTGTGCTTGGCACAGTAAAGTTCAACCACTTGCTTTTCTTTTCATTCTTCAGAATTCTCAAGAGTAGTCCTTCCTGAACAAGCTCACTTGGTGGTGTGCTCCCATGCTTTTGCAATGTTTTGGAACACAATGTAAACTAATATAGCCAACGGCTCTTGAGCACTCCCACCATTTTTCTGAAACTGAATAAACTAACCTCCTCCTTACCTGTTCTGATGGCCTTGGCCATCCAGGCCTTTCTTCCCACTCCCACTTCAGCTTCCCCCTACACACAGACTCACACTGTTCCTGGCTATGCCCACAACTGGCCTCTTCGTATTGTTCTAACTCTGCTTTTACCTTTATGGCTGACTCTTCTCTGTATCCTGCTGGCTCTAAAACCAACCATTAGTTTTCCTCAGTTTCCACTTTCTCCCTCAAAGAACCTATTTTCTCTCATAGTTTTAGTGACCAAATTAATGCAGATGACTCCAAACTCTGTATTCCAGCCCTGATCCCACTTGAGTGGCTAGACATCTCTATCTGAATGCCCTGCTATCACTTCAAAATCATTATTTCAAAAGAAAATTAAATTTTTTCCTCAAACCAGATTCTTGATCTATTTTTCCATTCTACCAATAATTGTCATTCTCTCAGTCTTCCATTCCAAAATCCTAATGTTATTTTTTAAATGTCACCATTCCCTCTATACATGCATTATTTCAATAAGTCCTTTCCATTTCAACTTGATCCCTCTGGTCCACACTCTCATCATCTGATCTCCACCGCAAGTATCTTCTCAATGTCCTGCTCCAGTTTATTCTAGAACCAATGCATCCGCATAATGCTGACACACTGACTTTCCTCGCACATTTGGTTGTAATTCTATTACTCCTCTGTTCATAAACCTTCAATGGCTCCATACTGCTAAGAAAATAAATTTCAAAATCCTTAGTCTGAAATTCCAAGCCAGCAAAATTGCTTTACCCTTACTGTTAACTTCTAACTAATATAAGCCAATGTAAACTCTGCACCAGAGTAATTTTCCTTACTGCCCCTTTATCACTATAGGTTATGCCATTCTTGCTGTTGAGACTGCCCTTCCCTCTCTCCTCTAAACAAGCTAAGTTCTATCTTTATTCGTGAGGCTGACTCAGGACTAATCATTCTATAAAGCCTTCTACAACCTGAGCAGCCCGTTCATTGCTTATAACCTATCAACTGGCACTTAGGGTAATCTAGCTACATTATTGTTTATCTTTAAATGTGAGTACATGTGTAAAAAATATATACTTGTATGTGTATATTTTCTGTGTCCCCAATGAAACTGTTAGCCCTGAAAGAATTAGTAGTAGGCCTTTGTATTTACCTTTGCACCCTCATTGACGGTGATGGACTTTATGACACTTTATATGAATTAAAGGTTCAGCTATTGAGACAAAATACAGTCCTGACTGGTGTTCTCAGTGGTTAGAGTGTCAGCCTGAGCACCAAAGGGTCGCAGGCTCAATTCCTGGTCAAAGGTTCATACCTTGGCTGCAGGTTTGATCCCTACCCCAGTTGGGCGAGTGCGGGAGGCAAGGATGTGTCTCTCTCACATCGATGTTTCTCTCTCTTTACTCCCCTCCCTTCCACTGTCAATATTTGATATAAATTATTAATAACATGAACTTATTAAATTTATTCACAATCAAAATAAAGAGTGTATTAAATCTATCCTGAAACATATTCTATTAACTAAATAATGGAGGACTCAGACATCTTTAGTTTTGGATCATGCTTCTCTAAATAGTCAAGGGTGGTAGGGGAGACATCAATAAAACCCTATTGGGTGTGGAATATTTAGACAAATACCATATAATTTCACTTATATGTGGAATCTAAAGAACAATATAAATGAACAAACAAAATAGGAACAGACTCATAGATACAGAAAACTGACAGATGGTTGCCAGAAGGGAGGGAGGTTGGGGGACTGGGTGAAAAAGGTGAAGGGATTAGTAAGTACAAATTGGTAGTTACAAAATAGTCATAGGGGTATGAAGAACAGCATAGGGAATATAGTCAATAATACTGTAACAACAATGTATGGTGCCTGTTGGGTACTAGACCTATTGGGGGGAACACTTTGCAAAGTATATGATTATCTAACCACTATGCTGAACATCTGAAACTAATACCAAATAACAATGAATGTAAACTGTAATTAAAAATAAAAATTTAAAAGATAAATATCTGGACCCGTTCTAAATATTGATTAAATAATCTAATATTCTTAATAGTGTACTTCTGTTTGCTAATGCATTATATTCGAGAACTTTGTACCATTTGTTTGAACTAAAGAATAAACATTTAATACTACTTTTAGAAAACATAAAGATTTAAGTTCATCTATACTAAAAATTTAAATTATATTCTAAATTTTTTTTTTTTTATTAGTTAAGGTATTACAAATGTGTCCTCATCCCCCCCATTAACCCCCAACCTCCCCCCCCCCACACACACTCATGCTCCCATCCCCCTGTTGTCCATGTCCATTGGTATGGCTTATATACATGTATACAAGTCCTTCGGTTGATCTCTTCCCCTTACCCCCGCCCTCCCCTACTTTCCTTCTGGGGATTGATAGCCTGATTGCTACAACATAGACTGATGAAAAGGGACAGACTCAAAGACTGAGAAACAGCAATCAGGCTATATTCTAAAATTTTATTCTGAAATAATGTCAAACTATCCCAGGTGACATTATTCAGTATTCCCTTGTGTCAACTAAAAACTTCAAACTATGGTTCAGTTCTTTTACTTGTCTTTGAAATAAAACTACGATTAAAGAATGGCTGTCATTTCCTTTCTAAAAGTACTCTTACCTTGTGTAAACAAATAAGGTTCCTTCCACATCAGTCTTCTCCTAGAACATAAAAACAAACAGCAAAATATGTAGATTCTCTTCATTAACAGTAAACATTCACAGAGGTTAAAGAACATAAACTTCTTACAGAACAGGAATTCTGCCCAGTTTCAAGTAGGACCAAATCTAAGCAACATCTAATTTAAGAGGCTTTTCTTCAGGAAAGGAGAAAAGCAGGATCTCTGCCTGACTGTAGCTCTGCTGAGGAAGCAGCAGGAAGCAGTAATTTTTCTTTTGCAAAATAAACCATTATTATCTTCCTTTACCAAATGCAGGGATAGCTGAAGCAATAAAAGTGCTCCATGGATCTCATTAGAAAGAAGAGTTATAAGAAGTGTGTTGCCTTTCCTCTGCCCTCTGAACAGGTTATATGGCAAGCTGCAGAAATCACTGATGAATGCATCTCATTACCCTTCTCTTTGTTTTCTGGGTTCATTTTCTCTTGCTCTACTAGGAGGGCAGATGAACTGCCAATAATTCTACTTTGACAACTACATAGAAGACAGCAACAATGCCATGGTTTTCAATGCCCTACTGGGTGTGGAATAGAGTTTGTTTTTAAAATATGTTTTTTATTGATTTCAGAGAGGAAGGGAGAGGGAGAGAGATAGAAACATCAATGATGAGAATCACTGATTGGCTGCCTCCTACATGTCCCTCACTGAGGATCAAGCCTGCAACCCAGGCATGTGTCCTGACCAGAATCGAACTGTGACTTCCCGGTTCATAGGTTGACAGTGAGCCTCGCTGGCCAGGCCAGAGTCAAGTTTTGATTTTTGAAATTATGTTAGAAACATTACCAAACTAGGACTCAAGAAGTCTGCCTAAGAAAAACTGGGAGAAGTGATAAAGTTAAAATGATATCATTTTAGTTCATTCAGAAAGGCTCTTTTCCATTTCAACAAAGGCAGGATCTCATCCCCTGATAAAAATATTTAAGTACCCATTTGTTTAACTAATAATTGGACTATTATAATTAAAAATTTTAAATGTACATTTGCTATTTACATGGCTCAATTTCGGCATTCTATTTAACCTCAGTATTTTATTATTAATATCCATTACCAAAATCATTTAAAGTGTAAGTATTCTGTAATTTTGGTGTAAACCACACTCTTTAAGAATAAAGGTATAATGTTAAAATGATAATTTCTGAAAGGCACACACAAAAAAATTGGAAGCATGGTCCTTTCACAAGCTCAAGAAATTTTAGCAATCTTCTTGGTCACTGTAGTTCAGCGGGTCTCAAAATTTAGTTCAGTGGGTCCCCACATCACCAGCAGCAGCATCACCTGAGAATTTGTTAGAAATGCAAATACTTGGGTCCCTCCCTAGACCTATAGAATCAGAAACTCGGGCTGGTGCCCAGCAGTCTCTTTTATTAAGCCTTTCAGGTGATTCTGATGATGCTATGTGAGAACCGCTGCCTTAATTCAATAGCAATCTCTGTCCACAGAACTGTATTAGGAGTCATGAAAACAAAATCCACTATGGTCCAAATGATATCAAAATGATTTTTAAGAGCAAATAGCTATCAAGAGTAAGTTACTTAGTAACAATTTAATGATTTCATATTATTATTTATTATAAAAATAATTCAACAAGTGCTAAAACTTAAGCAGTTCAAAATTTGAAATAATACAGTGGAATATAAGTGTTAGTTTACAAATTATTGGGAATCAGCACACTATTTGACTCCTTTGAAACAACTCAAAGCAATCTGTGTCTTACTGATTATTTTGTTAAAATGAAAAAGTAGGTCTCTACCCTCTAAACCTGTCTTTCTCAGTCATGTATGTAGCATCAAAGTCGCCTAAAATATCAACAAATATCAAATGCTTGGGCCTCATATCCAGAAATTGTGATAACACAGAACTCAGAAAACCTTACAAGCTAGAAAAAATAGGACACTAGTCACTAAGGCAGTTTCTCAAGCTCAGCACTTGTGTAGGCTATTGAACAGCATCACTGGCCTCTACCCTCTTGATGACACACACCTCACTCTCAGTAAGACAACCAAAAATTTTCCCCAGACACTGTCAAATCAACTCCTTAAGAACTACTTCTCTCAGGGCTGAAATACCAGGGTTATATTCTTCCACACACAGGTATTTGGGGGGAGTAGTCTTTCCTAATGGTAGGAAGTAAGTCCAGTTCTAAAATTTCTATTTCAGTCATTATATATCTTTCTTAATTTTTCCTTAAAGCAGCTCACTTCTGTTCCCTCTTCCTTCCTACTTCTTCCTGCTCTGAATGCCAGTTCATTCTTCATCTATTTTCAGTGTAATAAGAACTCCCTTCCTTTACACACCACATTCTTCTTGCATATGCTTTCTCCTCCATTTTCAAGAATGTTCTTTACATGTTTATTAGGTTTGTATTCAAAAGGCTCCCATCCAAAGGGCCTGAGTGATGGCATATGGAGACAATGGTGACAATTTGTTTACTCCTGGCAACTGCTCTGCAGCTAAACTGGGTCTTTTTTTTTTTCTGGCTAACACAGCCTTGAAGATTAGTACTTTGAAAGAATGACCTTTTACTGAATGAATTATGGCCTGTCTGAAGGTAACAAGTCCAGGAAGCAGGAAAACAATCTTGTAAATACATTGTGACTCTTCTGCCTTTTCAGGAGGCTTTAGTATAAGGGTCTCACTGGGTATCTAGTAAACCTCTGTAACTCTTTTTAACAGGTGTCTGTCTCAAAAGCCTCTAGGAAACAATTGTTACTCAAGAGGAATGATCTCCTCTATGTTTCAGGATTTTCCAGACTCTAATCCTGGTGTCAAGTCAGTCTACTGAACTATGCATGCCTGATCCTTATCTGTACTGTAGAATTACCTTGATAGAATTATGACATTATGCCTCTGGCATTTTTCTGTAGAGCAGTGTAAGAGCCAGGTGTAGAATATGTTTTGTAAGTTGACAGAATTATGACATTATGCCTCTGGCATTTTTTAAGTTGCCATTGATGAAACTGTCCACTACGTTGCTCAATGTCCTTTATATAAAGACCCAGGTGGCAGAATTTTCTGACCAAGTGATATATTTCCTATTACAAAACAATGAATAGTAAAGAGCTCCCATGCTTTATTTATTTTTTTATTGTTATTATTATTATTATTATTGCCTTGGCTACTTGGAAAGCAGCCCTAAGCCCATTTCAATAACATTCCTTAGTTAAGAATTCAGGGCAAAACTGCTCTTCTCTCTCATTTTAAGACTTAACTTTTTACCTTTTCATTTTTGTTAGTGATTTTCAGGTGAATGTGTTTGAAAACATATGAATTTGTTCAATATGGATGTTTTATTGCTTAAATTTTTGTTTGATACCTTCTTGGAGAATACATTTTTTACAAATCTGAAATCCATTCATCCAGGCTCAGTGCTTCATACTGTTTTGTAACTTATTTGAAAGTAATGAATGGATAGTGATATAATTGACAAATGGATATTATTTGGACAAAAATCACCACGAGGAAAAGAGGGAAAAAAAAATCCATCTCTCTACATTCGAAATCCACTGGTAACCTGCTGGAGGGCTCGGATGTCTTATGCTCTACCCAATTCTAATTGTGAGAAAAACTGAATTTCATTCTATTGCTCTTTATCGGGGTTCCTGCTTGACAGGAGTATTCCGGCTCCCCAGCGGACTCAAATATTAACGCATCGCTGGTCTTGATGGGCTGTGGAGTAACAATCTTTCCGACAGTCGACCTCCTCCTATGCGGGACCCAGGCCCACGTAGTCTTCCATTCCCGATGTCTGCTCTTTCCTTGGCGGAGTCCAGTCCCTGAGTCCGCAATTTCAGATGTCTCCCGCTCTCAGGTTCGGTCCTCTGGGTCCCGCGGAGGCTGAAGTGCCCGCACCGCAGCTCTCCCCGCACTCGCCTCCTCCCGCCGCCTCTGCAGCCGCCTTTCCCGTCACCGCTCCCGCGCCGCCTCCGCCGCGGCACCGTCTCCGGCCTCGGGGCACCCGGTCCTCTCTCCCCTCGGTCCTCGGGGTGGCGTCCCCGTCCGTCGGGTCTCCCGGCGCGCGGGTGGCAGGGATTTGCATGTAAGTCTTGGCCAGTTTCAGATGGTTTCACAGATCGGCCTCCCTCTCCCCCAAGCCCCGGGGCCCCTGGGCACAAACCCCCCAACTTCAGCCTGCAGCCCGCGAGCCACCAGCGTCCGCCTCCATCCTCCGGGGCGTCGCGTCCCCTCCCGGTAGAGGGATCGAGCCCGCCCGTCCCCGCCCGTCCCCGCCCCGCCAGCCTGCACTGCCCGTCGCGCGCGCACGCACCCACTCGTTGGCCCGATGGCCGAAGGTGTACAGAGCCACCTGGCTGGCCACGTCTACGATGCGGTTGATGTAGGGGTCGTGGCGCTGCAGGGCCGCCAGGCTGATGTCGCGCCCCTTGCCCACGGGGCCGCGCGCCGCTACCGCCGCCATCTTCCCTCCCTGCCCGTCCGCTGCCCGAGCCCGAGCCCGAGCCCGCGGCAGCCACTCCAATGGAGTGCGGAACCGGCGAGCTCCCGCCACCCGCTCGGCGCCCGGTTCCGGGAGGGCTCCCTCCAGCCGCGAGACGCGACTAATCGATGGCCGCGCTCCCTCCGCCGACGATCGTTGCCACTGGCAACTGCAAGCCTGGGCCAGCGTTCTGACATCTCCCCCCTCCCCGCCAAGAACTGTTTTCTTCCTTAAGTGAGCCTTTGAGCTGCTCACGATGGAATGTATCTCTTGGATGGGTTCAGCGCCTTGGCTTGTCTTTCGTTTGGCGCTCAGTGATCAAACCTACAACAATAAATAAGCCTCAAGCATTAAATAAACGAAGAGAAAGAACTGTGATTTCTGTCTGCTCAAACACCCAGTTTTTAGTGTGGCCCAGAGCCCCCTGGAGGTTCCCGAGACCCTTTCAAGGGGTCTGCCAAGTCAAAATTGTTTTGATGACATTGCTCAGACTTATTTGACTCTTCCTCTGTATTGACATTTGCACCAACGGTGCAAAAATGGTGGGTGAAAGTGCAGGTGTCTGTCTCATCGTGAATCAAGGCAGAGGCACCAAACTGTGAAAGCCAGTGTCACTTGAAAGAGGTCTTGATAAAGCAGTAAAAATTATCTCAGAGGGGAGGGGGTGGGGGAGACTGGAAGAGATTAGCTAAAGAATTTATATGCATGAATTCACAGACAACAGTGTGGTGAAGGCCTGGGGTGGGGTGGGGGCTGGGTGGAGAGGGGCAAAGAGGGGAGAAATGGGGGACATCTGTAAGAGTGTCAACAATAAAAACGTAAGTCATGGGGATGTAATGTACAGCACAGGGAATATAGTTAATAATATATATGGTAAACATTATTAAATTTATTCAAGTTCAACCCTTTGGTACATTTTTTAAATTCTGTGTGGAAAAAATAGGAAGTATGCATAAAGCATGTGTGCTGAATACCAAAGTGCCACATTTATCTCCAGGAAAACCCTTCCATGCTTGAATTGCAGGCTGAACTAGTGTTTTTACTTTTATTTTCATTGAACATGCTTTTGACTTGAAAGAACAATGGACAAACTATGGTTATTCAGACAGGTATTTGAGAGACATTTTTTCAAAAATAACCATGTACTTGCTACTTCCAGGAAAACAAGGGGGCAATTATTGTTGTCAATGGTAGTTTTTGAGCCTTCAAGTGAGAATTACAAGTTTAGAGAACATATATCCACGGCCATGAATGAGCTTGACAGCTTCTCAGTACTTAAGAGTCTTTCTGATGAAGTCAGTGGGCATTGGAAAGCCTGTGATGAGGAATTTGCTCTTGAAACCGTGGGAGAAAGGTGAACATTTGTCACTCTGGTATATGCATCACAGAATGTACATTTTGTTTAAAATTTTAAATAAGCCGTTAACATTTCTTTTGTAAAGGGGTGAATCTCTGAGGCTTGGGGCCTTTGGGCAAGGTCTACCTTCTAATCATTTCAGGGAGCATCAGTACTCCCTCACTGTCTCCCTAGCAGCTGGTCCAATGCCTTGTGCTGAATGAAGATTTAGTAAATGCTTATCCTATTGAATGAAACCATGAATTAGTTGAATTTTTTACTCATTAAATACGGCATTTAAAAAAACCTCATGATTTATAGAAATTCAAGTTGGGATAAAAGAACATACACTAGCACCCTGGCTGGTGTGGTTGGATGGTTAGAGTGTCCTCTCGTATGCTAGGAAGGATCAAGAATTCACTACCCATTAAGGGCACATCCCTGGGTTGCAGGTTCAATCCCCTGCCCAGTCAGGGCTCTTGCAGGAACCAACCATTTGATGTGTCTCTCCCACATTAATTTTCTCTCTCTCTTCCTCTCTCTGAAAAGTAAATTTAAAAAGTGTCCTCGGGTGAGGATTAACAACAACAACAATACAAGAACAGACAATAGCAAGTCTTGATCTTTTGAGTTCACATTCTAAGAAAGATAGGAAAGAATGGGAAGTTTTTTAAAAAAACTTTCGATATTGTAGCCCTAGCTGGTTTGGCTCAGTGAGTAGAGCGTCAGCCTGTGGACTGAAGGGTCCCAGGTTCAATTCTGGTCAAGGGCACATGCCTGGGTAGTGAGCTTGATCCTCAGTAGGGGATGTGCAGGAGGCAACCAATGACTCTCATCATTGATGTTTCTATCTCTTTCCCTCTCTCTTCCTCTCTGAAATCAATAAAGATATATTTAAAAACACACACACACCTTTTCATATTGTAAAGAAAAAGCCTTGAAGATTAAAAATCACACATAGAAAAAATGCATAGCTTTGTTCTCTTTTTAACCATTTCTCCCCAAATTCTTTTTCTTTAAATAAGTTTTATTTCTTAAAGTATTACAAAGAGTATTACATATGTCTCCTCCCCCCCGCCCCTTGACATTTCCCCGGCCTCCCCTACCTCCCAGTGTCTTGTGACCATTGTTTATTCTTATATGCATGCATATAAGTCCTTCGGTTGATCTCTTAAACCACGCCCCCCCCCAACCCTCCCCAGGCTTCCCACTATAGTTTGACAGTCTGTTCAATGCTGCTCTGCCTCTGCATCTATTTTTGTTCATCAGTTTATATTGGTCTTTATTATCCGTTTCAACCTCACCGGGGCTGTCCCCACCTCACTGGGCCATTTTGACCTCACCGTGGCCATCCTGACCTCACCGGGGCCGTTTCAACCTTCCCCCAAATTCTTAAAGCTCTAAATTTCTAGGATGAAGACAGACTTCTGTCTACTTTCTACTTGAATAATCCGTGTTTGTAAAATCAGGTCATCATCACTTATTCAAATATACTACATTGTAGGCCCTTATCAGTAAAAGACCATTTAAAATAGGCAAATCCTCTCTTAATCCTTATAACTTCAGCTTCCATTGACTTCCACCATGCTGGCATAATTCCACTGTGTTCCCAGAAGCCTTCTCATGATACTTTGAATAAATATTGGTAACTTTGGGTTTTATGATTATTTTATAATTGTCATTATGAGATAAAAATTGCTGCTAACACTTGGTATTATAAAGTTGTATACCAAAATTTAAAACAAGTTTGTAGTATGATAAAAAAAATGTATGTCCGGGTCTGGGATTTTTATACCACTGCAACGACTAAGATAAAATTCACCATCTAGCCCTAACCGGTTTGGCTCAGTGGATAGAGCATCAGCCTGTGGACTGAAAGATCCCAGGTTCGATTCCGGTCAAGGGCATGTACCTTGGTTGCGGGCACATCCCCAGTGGGAGGTGTGCAGGAGGCAGCTGATCGATGTTTCTCTCTCATCGGTGTTTCTAACTCTCTATCCCTCTCCCTTCCGCTCTGTAAAAAAATCAATAAAATATAAAAAAAAATCACCATCTAATCAATCAAGGTAATTGTAAGAACAAGGATGTTTATAGCCACATATGAATATTTGTACAAAAATATAAACTGACTTTATGGCATAATAATCTAAAAACATAAATACACAGTCTACTCTATTAGTACTCTTTTCATTACTGTGTTTTGCATTTGTCCTGGAGTAGAGTGTGTTGGAATGCAGGGGGGAGAGGAGCTTCCTGTAAGCCCCCTAAGAGTTTGTGATTCTAAAGTGACCTGTGCTGCCTGTATGAATTGCCCTTTTTGCTAGGAATTTTACACTAAAGACAGACAAAAGTGAAGAATTAATGCCCTCTTCCTCTCAGTGGAGGAAAACAGCTTGAATCTGTGTGTTATCAGTTGTTTTCAATGCAGGGTTCATTTCTTTTTTAAGCAGCAGAGCACAGTGGAAAGGTCACCCCCTGGGAAGCGAAACAAGTTAACCTCTTTTTACCTATGTGACTTTCAACGATGACCTCACCTGCAACATGGGGATCATAATATCTGCCCTACTAATTTCACAGGGTAAATGAGATCAAGTGAGAAAATGTACCTAAAAAATAATTTGCAATCTGTTAAATGTTCTGCAAATGAAAAAAGCTATTCTTTTTTAAAGAATATCATTTCTAACGGGAAGTCCAGAAGGGACCCTTCATGTGCAATTACTTAGCCAAAGTTCAAATCATCTCAACAAAGTTCTGTATAAGTGACAAGGAACACATTCATTCCCAAAGCAGTTCATTATCAATGTTTTTATAAGATAGAAGGTGTGAGCTAACACATAGTCATCAGAAACTTCACAATCAGAGGGAGGAATAATATAGGATATAGAGCTCTGTGTTTCTTAAGATTGCAAAGGGGTTAAGATTTGTAATAATCATCAGAGAGACTTGGAGCAAAGCGAGAAGGGGCAGATGTGGGGGAGGAAGAGGCCTATTGAGTGAGCCTTTCACTAGACACTATGAAAAGGGTCAGAACTTTTCAATCTAGGTCCAGCAGCTGCCTGGGCTAAGCCCTGTTAATCTGACCAGGAGAGGGCCTGGGTGATCAGAGCTCTTTGGAGTAGGGATGTCACCCGTGCACATTCTCTTTTCTCTCTCTTTACCTTTTTCGGCCAGCCCCATAACATCTATTCATTTGACTGTCATTGGCAGGGGTCGGGTGGGCCTCGAGGATCTCTATAATAATAACGTCTTTTTAGTTGCTTCCCAATGCCCCAAACATGCTAAGACACGAGGAAGTGCCTTTAATGTCACATTAAACTTAAAATGCAAATACTTGGCTGTGGTAACTAATATCAGCACCTGGTTACTAAAGAGGGAGAGCAAGATGGGGAAAGGTGAGTTGAGACAGCAGGAGACAATCTTCCTAGTTTATGAGTGCACTGTGGAAGGGACAGTGGAAGTTGTGCAGTTGGGGTCCGCCATATCTCTGAAAACAAGGCAGCTCTGTGCCACGTAGATGAGGAAGTTGTTATTTAATATGGCTGATTTCATATAAAAGAGTTTTTGTCCTGGGGCCAAGCAGAGATTTGGAATTGTTAGTAGATTGCCCCTTAGAACAGGGAATCTGTTGCCCCTTACATCAGTGAGAGGTGTGCGGAGCTGACTGGTTCACGGTAGGAGCACTAAGGTCATATAGGGATGGCTTTATGATTATTGATTTGAGCA